GATGAGCCTGTAGGCCAACTTCCCTCATGGTCAGTCCATCCAGAAGAACATGGTCAACTATAGTGCTTTGTATTTCATCAGGAACAAATGTGCTTTGACCTCACCCCCTTCATTTTTATTTTCCCCTCCTATTCCTCTTTGTTTCCCACTACCAGGATTCATTTTCCAAAACTCATAATCACTTGTGCTCCTGTGCATATCTTCTTAAGATTCTGACTGGTGTGTCATCAGTTTTGCTACTGATTGTTCACACATGGATAAATGTGGCCTGTTTGAGTTTATTTTTTGATGCTTGATTTAATTGTATTGTGTGTTTGTATTTTCGGAATGAGAACATGGTTAAACCTGTGCAAAATGATGGCGTTTTTGTGTAGACTTTTGCAGAAAACACTGGGAAAAAAAATGGAACTAGTGTGCAAACAGGTGAAATGTGTTAAAAGTTTTGAGAAACGTGTCTTTGTTTTGAGAACTGTATGAATGGTTTGGAAAATTTGGCCAAATTAATCAGTTATAGTGTGTTAGCAATCGAGAAAAACGGTAAAACATTAATCAAAGTGTCATTAGATTTGAATCTTAATAGTTTGGTTTAATGTGTCAGTGCTATGGTCCTAGAATAAAAATGAAGAGGCAGTGTCCACATAACTGAATCATTACCATCAAACACAAGCATTTCAAAGGTGTCTTTAACTACGATGTACTTATGTAAAAAAATATATATATATATATAAATAAATAAAAGTAAGGTACAATCATGTACTTATTGTGTTTATGTTGTATTATAAAACACTTTTACTGCTATTGGAGTGGGATACAGTTAAGGTTTGGGACAGGTTTGTTTAAGAATAAGGGTGGATTAAAGGGGAAAATGTGGGGTCGACAATGTAGTTATAGACATAACTATACATAAATTAGTTACATATGTAAATACAAGCAGGTATTTTTTTTAATATTAGTGCAATGTAAAACATGTATGTACATAATAAGCACTTTGTGTCTATTATTAATTTAAATGTGAATGCATAGTAGTTAAAGACACTTAATATGAGTCCAATTATATATATTTTTTTTTTTTTTTTTTTTTTTTTTTTTTGCAGATTGTAGGTTAACTCTGGAGGTTTAAGAAATTATTTGGTCATATGTGAGTATTGTAAATTCAACTGCACCAACCTTCTGTTTTTATCCAGTCACGCACCGAATCGCAGATGGACTGTCACCTCGGCGATCTTTGAGTGACAGCGAGGATGATGACCTGCCCAACGTGACCTTGGAGAGAGTGAATGAAACAGGATCCACTGCCCTGACTATCGCCCGTGCTGTGCAAGAGTAAAGACACCTTCATTAAGCTGCAATATTTACAATCCAATCCTATCTATCATTATGATATATGATGGTAATTTTCAGAGCTCACTCTGTGCATGATATGATGTCCAGGATGACAAAAATCATAGAAATAAGATTATAGATTGTGACAGGGACCCAAGCACTCTCAAGGAGAATCACATTGAGATGTAAACACGGGAGTGATGCTGGCATCCAAAGAGGTGTTTATTTGAAGCAGATGTGCAAAATGTGCAAATAAATATGTTTAAGAGCATAAAAACAGTACCAATTCCCCTCTACACGACTGAGACCGGAGTTTACCACTCAAGCAGCGCTACAATAACCATGCTTTTTTCTGCTCTTACTAAATGGAACATACCATTTTTATAAAATAAACTCATCTCTCCATCTGATTAATAAATAAGTACATAAGATCATTAAGAACACTTAAATCCCATATAGGTAAACACAATAGAAAGGATGGATAAAACCAAAAAATACTGTATATTTCCATAAATCAGCTAAAATTTCCTTTAAGGCCCTTCACACTCTGCTAAAACATGAAATATACACCAGCAAACCCGACATAAATATTAAAAAATAAAATAAAATAAAAACTGCACAAGAACAGTAAGAACACGATAAAAACAGTGATGGAAGCCAACTTCAAGGACTCTCCATCACATAGATATTTAAAAGTAAACAGATATTTTAGACATTTTAAAAGTTAAAAAAAAAGAGTGTTAAAGTGAATGATCTTTTTAAATAAAGAATTGGATATGGCATTATCAGCATTATTAGAAAGCAAGTAGGGACAATGGCAAACGGTTGGCAGTGCTGTGTAAATGATTCTGGAAAGGACAAAAAAAAAACAGTAGTGAATATTAGTGTGAAAGAGAAAGTGTGTCTAGTGTTGCTTATTTGACCTGTTGGTTCTTAAATCAATAAGGATTTGAGCCAGTGAGTCATGTAGTGTTTGTATACATACCGTGCAGTTATAGTCTAGGGACAAAATTTGAAATCTGACAAAACCACCATGGAGACATGGGGGAAAACTGGAAAAACTATTCATAAATAATTCCAGTAATATTTTTACTTTATTATTGTATTATTTTTGTTTTTATAATTTGCTATACTTTCTCCAAAAAAGGGGGGGGGTACAAAAGCTGTCACTGGGATGGCACCCTTACTCTTAAAAGGTGCATATTAGAACTGTAAATTTACATATAAGTACCTAGATGGTACATATTAGTACTTTTTGAAAAGGTGACCAGTGACCGCTTTTGTACATTTTATTCTGGACGTGTATATATTTTTACATGTTTGGCAGATGCCTACCCGATTTAAAGCATATTCAGGGTAAACATTTCGCGAGTATTTTCGTTCCCTTGAAATGGAACGGATGACCTTGTTTAACCAGTTGAGCGTCAGGAACTGATTTCAGTCTCAGAGGGAGTGTGCTTCAGGTTGAATGTGTTGTGGACACAGGTGCAGGAGACGATGCAGGTTTATATATCCCCTGACCCGTGATCAGCAAGTGAATAATGAATGACTTTATTATTATATTAAACTGATAAACTGGTCTCCAGACAGTGATGCTGCCCTGCACGTAACCACAACTGGAAAGCCCCTCTGGTTTTCTCCAGTGGGAAACATACAAACAAAAGACGGAACATAAATGACTGTGCTGAGTTTAGTCTGACGGCAGCTGCTGTTTCCCTCCCTGGTTCTCTCTTGTTGACAACATTGTAATGTTGATTCTTACTGTAAAACTAGATGGAGTTCCTCTGACCTCGGACTAAAAATTCCAAGCCACATATGAGCACATAATGGAATGTGGAAAATAGTGACAGCATTTTAAAGAATGTAGATATTGTTTAACGGGGGAGAAAAGATCTAGGATGTTTTCTTTCTGTCTTTTCCTCTTTGGGTCCCAAAAGTGATGGAGTGTGCCAAAAGCTACAGGTACCCCTCGTTGACCCCACTCCACACACACATACACTCACAGCCTCCACTCCTGCTACCCAAAAGAAACAGGAAGTGGCTCTGTGGGGGGTGAAAATGTCTCTTCTGCCACTCAGAAAACATTTCCAGTGAAAAGTAGGCTCGCCATCTAATTTATCCTGACAAGAAAATAAAACCGAGTTCAAGAAAAGGCAGATTTCCCTGATACCAAAAATATGCACAGTAAATGTTAGCTATTCATTTCCCTAAATAAACAATTGATACTCTCTTTTGATCTTTAAATGACAAATAATGTAAATAATAATGCAAAATGTTTCTGCATAATTTTATTTACATTTCTGAACCACTAGCGCCACCAAACGGAAGTACAAAAATAATGGCTTTTCATACAGGTTTTCTAAACACTCTTCGCCCTATTTGCTATTTGTCGACCAAATTGGTTAAGCCAATATTGCTATGTTGGGCTGGTTGGCATACTCAAACTTATTCTTCACCATGAATCTTTTTTTCTGCTCTGTTAGTAAACACCATACAGGCCTAAATTAACTTAATTGTATATGTATTAAGAAAAAAGATTAATAGATCTGCTGCACACTAGGAGCACGCAACCTCTTTTAATATTTGCTTGTCCGTCTGTGGAAATATCGCCACAGAGATCCACTCTGGTTGTGTGAAATTTTAAGGGAATCAAAGAACGAAGAGAAAACATCGGAAAAAAATATTGTCTGACTCGCTCCTGGAGGGTCGGTGTCCTGCAGAGTTTAGCTCCAACCCTAATCAAACACACCTGAACCTGCAGGTGTGTTGAGGAAAGTTGGAACTAAACTCTGCAGGACACCGGCCCTCCAGGAGCGAGTTTGGTGACCCTGGATTATTAGCATAGCTCCCTCAAGTGGTGATTTAAAGTAAAGAAGTAAACATTTATATTTTCTGATTTGTTTACATGCGAGTATAATAAAAATTGCAAATTTGCTGATAATTCATCAATTTAATGTGTGTGTGTGTGTGTGTGTGTGTGTGTGTGTGTGTGTGAGTGAGTGAGTGAGTGAGTGAGTGAGTGAGTGAGTGACTATCATACTAAACAAAACTGTCTTCAAATTATATCTTTAATTCAAAAGCATGCTGTCATTGCAGTTCCTTGTTGCCGTTCAGCATTGAGAGCCTGCGGAGGCCCCGTCCTTCAGAGTCACCTGACTCAAAGAGGAGGCGCATTCACAGGTGTGAGTTTGAGGGCTGCAATAAGGTTTACACCAAGAGTTCTCATCTTAAAGCCCACAGACGCACACACACAGGTTAGTCAGCCTACATTTAGGCCTACATCAGGTCATGTTTTGAAAAAAGTTCTGTTCTTGTAAGGTCCTTTCTTTCTTTCTTTCTTTCTATATATATATATACTGTATATACATATACATATACATATTTTTTTCTCTCAGGTGAAAAGCCATACAAGTGTACGTGGGATAACTGCACATGGAAGTTCGCTCGCTCTGACGAGCTGACGCGACATTATCGCAAACACACTGGTGTCAAACCGTTCAAATGCAGCGACTGCGACCGCAGCTTCTCCCGCTCGGACCACCTCGCCCTCCACCGCCGCAGACACGCCCCACAAACATGCATAGTGTGAAAAAGACGTTTGATGGACAATATAAGCGGACAGAGCAGGTCTCTATCTGCCAGCATCGCATGCAGAAGATCTGGAATTACTCCTCGCACAACAATAAAGAGGTGAAAGACATGGAAATTTGACAGGAATGAGAGACGGAAGATGAAGTCCATGTATTATGCGATTCACGTGCATTTATCTACATTTCCCTCATATAGTTTATCTTCTGCACTTTTATGTGAGGTTTATTCATAGAGGTGGGAGCCTCAATTTGGCACAGAGTCTTATACTAGCCTAACTATTAAAAGCCTGTTAAAGGTGCTGTATACAATTTTTTTTATACTTAATTACTATAGAATCAGCAAGCAACTATTTTCTATGTAAAGATATAGTGTAGTAGCCTAATAGTATCCTTAGCAAAAAGTGAAGTCAGAACCCCTCTGTGTGTGTGTGTAATCCAAGCTTTTCTGTTCGGTTTTATCGGTAGTCGGGACGGCCGGGGCGTGTTTGTTATTGTATGTGAGCCCTCCCTTTAAAATAGTTGGCCCTCCCCGCATTTATAATAAGATAATACGGAGCTTTCTGCTTCCACATACCATGTTTCTATATTAGCATAATACTTACCTCGTCACTTGCCATTGTTTACAAAAGCCGAAGGTATATCAATTTTGTTAAATATTCCGTTTTCTTGATGCGTTTCACGTGGGGGGCGTGGCCGAACGGAGGGTGAGGGTGTGGCCGAAGCGATTCTCCTGTGCAACATCTAGTAGTTGAAAAATCGTGTACAGCACCTTTAAATGTAGGCCTATTCGATTCTCCAAACCTTCACGTTTCCTTCAGGTTTACACTTGGAAGACTTATGGTTTTTCATATCACTAGTCTAAAAATATTTAGAATTCATTTTATAATACTTATTTTTTTGTCTAAAAAGCATTGCAGAGGAGCCTAAATCTGTTCAGTGCAAGCTTTGGTTATGCATTTAGCAAATAAAAGTCACTTTGAAAAAAAAAAATGTAATTTACAATTTGCAGGGTAATAATAGCATTGCTGTCATCGTGTAGAACTAAGTACAAACTTGTTTCAGATCAAAAAAGACACGCACACACACACACACACAACAAGAAAACAGGACAAACAAACATAAAACATGACATTATCACAATGAAGGTTTACATTCTAGCTTCAAATTCTGCATGGGCTCCAGTTATCACTTTATTATGGAATCTGAAGTTCTTGTTTGTTTTTATATATAACTGAATGTGAGGAGACGGCCGTACCATTGATGTAGTGTTCTGTCCTCTCAGGAGACATTCTCTCACACCGTTTTAAACTTTCCTTGCATCATTTGTGCACAAAACTAGTGTAGCAGATGTCTGTATATTTTATAGTCTTTACCATGTGGTATATTATTTTGGTTTGTTTGTATTGTATGTCATATATTTGTTCTGTATTCCGAGATTTGCACCCTTTTGACCATAAATATGTGATGCCAAAATGTATAGTATTTTACAGGGAACCCAGTGACTAAAAATCATGAGTGTAAATGATCGTCAAATGGGCATTCCTTTTTATTTTTTTTTCTTCTACAATGATGTATCTGTAAATGATGTTATGGTAAACATTTCAGTTTTATATGGATTTAACTGTGAATTTATACATAAATACAGTATATGTTAGAAAAAGGCATGAATAAAAGCACAGATTTGTATGTACAGAAAAGACTTGTGTGACTTTAAAGACCATACAAAGGCCCAAACGCATATGCCTCATGAAGTTTAGAGATAACGTGATAATCTTACTGGACAGAACAGAATATAAAAGAGCAATTATAACCGATCAAATAGAACATTGACGGATTTATTTATGTATTTATTTATTTTAAGAATTCTGGTAGATACTGGAATGACACTATTACGGCAAAATGCATATTTCTTCATTGACAGCCATTCAGAAGAGACTATATTCCAAAATAATTGTATTTCATCAAGTAATATATAAATTGCACATATCTAATTATATTATAGTAGATGTTTTGTAAATAACATATTTTTGAATGGTCATAAAAGCATAAAATTGACATATTTTTGGCTTGGACAAGAGACAGGCATCTTACACCACTGTACGTGTCTTTTTTGCCTTACCTCTTTATATACTGCATAGACAGCATTTTTTTTAAGCTTTTGAGCCTACGCTGAGCGCCTAGGTCGCATAGTTTACCTGCCAGCTGAGCAGCCGCCAATGAGAAAGCTAATGATTGGCATACTGCTTTTCTTTTCTTTTTTTTCTTGCAATTGCAAATTATCTTGTTTCTTTTCCAGTGTTCAGGTAGTGACCTATTTCTATTTTAAAATGAGTAAAATTTACATTTACATTTGTGGATAAATAATTTTCCCTACATAATGAGTAAATTCACAATGTACCAAATTTTGAAGTCAACAGTATACTCATAAAAAAATAAAACATCCTTTTCTTTGAGTTGCAATTCAATCTTAGTACTTCTTTCCAATTTTACAAATCACACCAAAATAGTTTTGTTTATAATACAATCATAAAATAAATGGACAATACTCTCATGTTATGATAGGCTTTTCTTAAGCCTTGGGACTTCCTTAGACGCCACTGGAGCCACAGTATGTGTAGGCTAATATTTTACACTTTGATATTTTACAATAATATAAAATTATTATTATTTATATTATTATAAAATACGTTTCTTGAAGTGTATTCATACATTCGGCCATACCTTACGGTACATTTTCAATAAATATTGTACTTCTTCAATTCACCACAAGGTTGCAGCAGTATGCCATTGTTAACAGACTTCTTGTCATCTGTTCTAAACTGGACTTCATCATGCAGGTCAGTTCACGACACTCGATTTAACCTTTAACCCACCTTTACCCTGACTATGACGAACATTTTAAAGAAATGCCATCCGACAGACTAGTGATCAAGAAATACCTTCTTTTTTTGTCCCTTTGTTATTAGTGCAGGTGCGTGGCCTAAATCACCCTGCACCTGCAGGTTTCATATTAGCATATTGACATTTTAATTAGAGATTAAAACTGCCATAGCCACCCCTTATACATGAAAAAGACAAACTGTTTTCAGCATTTTGTTTGGTTTAGGTATATCCCGGAATATAACAAAAATTTTCAGTTTTGCTTAATGGCACAGTGCACTTTATTAACATTAGAACATTCATGTGACATTTATCTAAAAGAATGCTTAAATTCTTTATTTCAAGAGAAAAAAAAAACTTTTACAAAATGGAAGTCTGTTTCTGTAGTACTACATTTCTAGTAATATAGCCTATCATTGGTAATCTTTTTTAAGAAGGGTGCCTTTGTGTTTGTTTTCCTGTAGTATGTTAGAGATGACCTTTAAATGTTGATTTAAGGCCGGTTTCACAGATTTTTTTCTTGTCATGATTTGAATGGAATTCCACTTGTCCGATGACTTTCCTGCTATATGTAGCATTGATTCTACTGTATGTTGCAAATTATTTGTTATTATTTTAGCTCTTTTTGAAAAGAAAATCGACACATATTAATGCGTTACAACACCTAATAAAAGCAAAGCCTACTTCATAACTGCAGCTTCACAAAGCTGTTTTGCGTCAAGCTCTAAGGCAGTGTCACACTTCCACAGCCGTCAGTAGGACAGGCGGACACACTGAGTGTGTTTGTGTTGGTTGGAAATAGATCCTGCATGTCTCAATCAGTCATCTCCCTCTGATCTGAGAGGATGAGAAACACCTTATGAAAATATTGTTTATCTGACAGTAAAAACAGCAGTAAGGCTTGTTGTTCCCCTTTCCTCTGCCTCATAATCCAAACAAAAGAATCTCTGTCATAACACAACCGCTGAGAACTCTTCAAAACAGAAAGAGAGAGAGAGAGATTGAGTGTGTATGTGTATGTGTATGTAAAAAAGACCTAGGCAGGATGTTCATATTTTAGTTGGCACAGGCTTTGCTCACTTGTCCTGCTTTTCCTCTTTATTTTTCTGCTTTATCTCTTTAGGATTAATATATATATATATATATATATATATATATATATATAATTTTGGCTCTTGACAAATGATCCAAAACTCAAATTCTGATTCTGACTTTGTTTATGCCTCCGAAAAAATTGTGCACCAGTGATCAAAAGGTGCTCTTACGTAAGTCCCATTACAAAAAAACAACCGATGCCAACACCATATAACGTGCAGAAGCAAACGCACGAGGTTCAGCGAAGCATTTGCAGGTTTGAGCAAGAATCAGGTGTCCGTGCAAATCTCTGGTGCAATGCTACAGGTTTCACAACAGACCCCAGGGCATTAGGAGAATGCCAAGAGAACAAAACGTGATTGCAGTACTTGCACTGCAGGCTGCCAGACTCCACAAAGTCTCTGTCATGTTTTGGTCACAATTATACTGGTGCCATTGCAGCAAAATTACACCAAGAGGTTCAAAGGCTGATAATTGTAAAGGTGTGCTTTTTATAACCACCCTATGAGTCATTCTTTGTAATGCACAATGCTGGTGCATGAACAAACTTGAAGGTTTTATCGAGAGAGAGAGAGAGAGAGAGAGAGAGAGAGAGAGAAAAAGAGAGAGCAAATGTTTGCATGGTGCCTCAAAGAATGTTTTTGAAGTCAAAGTTATATCATATTCTGAAGTTTTCTGCCCTATCAAAGACCTTTAAATCCATATTATAAACAATAGTCTGATGTATTGAACACTGAAAGCCTGCGCGCTAGTTTACAGTGAGCTTAAATAGTGGCGAAATGACACATAAGAACACAATGCAATTTTTAACTGCAGTGTCACAAGCTTTTCTTGTCTCTGGCATTCGGCAAACCAGCCCTGTAACTGACGCCTGTAACCACACCGTAAACTTTGGAGTGAAACCATTTATAACCAGTAACAGAATTATTTTAGAGATCGTGACATAATGTTCCAAAGTCACTGTCTTCTGGGTAACTGCTGAGCAGCTAAACAAATGCAGTCGTGTTATTGTTTATTTCCCATTTACTCCCAATACAGGCAGTTCTGAGACTGCATTTATAATACAGCTAATTGACCAATTGGAGGAAGGGAGCTCTGGTAAATATTTGGCAATTCCTCTTTGTGTCAGGGACATAAAGGCATATTTGTCAGAGGAAGCTGCTGTTATTATGGCTTTGTAATCGTGAAGTGTTCACATTTGCCATGCATGGTGAGATTTTGGAGCAGCTCACAGGAAAGCTGTCGGTGTAATGATCCACAGCAAATGGTAGTGACAAGGTGAGGAAATGAGAAGGGTGGTTGTATCTGGAGACTATGGCTGATTGACGGCATTTTTTTTTCCATGCCTCTCTCATCTTTTTCTGTCTTTTTTTCCATATGAATGTTCCCATGGAAATGAGGGAATCCCTGCCCAGAAACAGAAAGTTTCTGTCTACAGAGAGATGCCACATATCCCTGCCTTTTTTCCTGTGTTCATGCATCATCCTTGTTGACTCATCCACCTCCACCAAATACGCTGCTTTTTCCTGATTAGCAGGGTATTCCATGAAGTTATTCAGCTAAAAACATTTGCCATGCTGGAAAAAGGTGAGTGAACTCACCAACCATATATATTTCACACTGGCCAATTATTTTATATAATAAAAAGATCAATAAATTAATAATACATATTTTTAATATTTTGAAATATTGTAATGAAATAATATCAAATAATTTTATTTGTATATTTATATTTTGTGGTATTTTTGACACTTCGTTTGATATTTCTTAAAAATAGCTCAGGTAATTGCAATGCCTGCAAAATCATATACTTTAGGAGATTTTTTCAGTAAAAATGCACCTTTCAGAAAACACAAAAATATGTTAATAATATTATATTTTTGTTTTGGTTTCTTAATGTTATGAATGCTCCACATATGTGTTACAACAAGAAGTCCTTGTAAAAATCGACAGAAACATTCAAAACATATACAATCAATATTTTTGATTTGTAAATTGATTTAACTGATGAAAAGTGACAGTAAACAAATTAAAAGAAATAATGTTACAAAAGATTGCTAGTTCAAATGAACACTATTTACTTTTCTGTTCATCAAAGAGTCCTGAACAAATATTTGTCAACACTGATAATAATAAGAAATGTTTCTCGAGCAGCAAATCAGCATATTAGACTGATTTCTGAATGATCATGTGACACTGAAGACTGGAGTAATGATGCTGAAAATTCAGCTTTGATCTCAGGAATAAATTTAATTTTAACATGTATATTTACATAGAAAGCAATTATTTTAAATTGTAATAATATTTTACAATATTACAGTTTTTATTGTATTTTTGTTCAAATAAATGCAGCCTTGAAAGAAGCCATCAAAAAATCTTACCATATCTTACTAGTGTAAATGTTTGTTCCAATTCCTTGTAAAGTTGCTGACTAATAAACTTGCAACTAAAAAAAAACGTTTTACTCATATTTGCCACACAGTCGAGTGCTCGTTTTGAACCCCTGTTATGATCATCCAGTCAATCTCAAAATACATGCTGAGCAACATGTAGCTATCATTTACCATGAGGCATAATGCCCATGCAAGAGGACAGATATGGATAAGAAATGTCAGATATGCCTGTTCAGCTGTGACGGACCATAAGGACATTCTAGAATGTCTGGGAATAGTGACATTAAGCCTGATCTGGCCAGCAATCCTGATGGAAGTGAATGAGGAACATCTGCAGTCTTTCTTCTGTGGTATGAGCTATGGAGCTTCATCCCACTCAGGTCAGTAAGTCAGTGGATGTGTGTGTGTGTGTGTGTGTGTGTGTGTGTGTGAGGGCGGGAGGCAAGGGTTCAGGGGTCGCTAGCACAATTCTGTTTGGTGTTTTTTATGCTATTGTGTCTAAGGTCTCTGATGTACCATTGAAAAAGGGAGTTCAGAATGCTGTTTTCTATCAACATGGAGAGAATGTGAA